GGAGCCTCTGGTCTGAATTCCACAGCAGCCTCAGTGTCCTCAGCTGGAAAACCTGACCTGCCTATCTGCAGAATTATTAAGATTTAAAAATAAAATAGGCTGGGTCAGTGGCTCATGCCTGTAAACCCAGCACTGTGGGAGGCCGAGGCGGGAAGATCGCTTGAGTTCAGGATCTCAAGACTAGCCTGGGCAACATAGTGAGACTTCCATCTCTACAAAAAATAAAGCAAAATTAGCTGGGTGTGGTGGCACATGCCTGTAGTTCCAGCTACTGAGCAGGCTGAGGTGGGAGGATCACTTGAGCTCAGGAGGTTGAGGCTAACAGGGATCCCCCTGTACCACTGCCCTCCAGCCTGGGTGACAGGTCGAGACCCTGTATCAAAAGAATAATAATAAATGAAATAGTGTCTGTGAAAGCATGTTTTAAAGAAGGCTACACAAGCAGAAAATATTAGGGTGCAATTTCCTGGTTGAAAAATGCCTCGGCCAGGCACATTGGCACATGCCTATAATCCCAGCACTTAGGCGGATCACCTGAGTTCAGGAGTTTGAGAGCAGCCTGGCCAACATGGTAAAACCCTGTCTCTACTGAAAGTACAAAAACTAGCTAGGCATGGTGGCGGGTGCCTGTAATCCCAACTACTCAAAAGGCTGAGGCAGGAGAACCACTTGAACCTGGGAGGTGGAGGTTGCAGTGAGCTGAGATCGCGCTATTGCACTCCAGCCTATGGGACAAGATTGAGACTGCATCTCAAAAAAAAAAAAAAGAAAAAAAGAAAGAGAGAGAAAGAAAGAAAGAAAGAAAGAAGGAAGGAAGGAAGGAGAGAAAGAAAGAAAGAAAAGGAAAGAAAGAAAGAAAGAAAGAAAGAAAGAAAGAAAGAAAGAAAGAGAAAATTGGCTCAAAATAAACCAAAAAAAGAAAGAAAAAGAAAGAAAAAAGAAAAATGCCTCATGGTTCTCCCTTGCTTACAGAATAAAGTAAACCCCTTATCCCACACACAGCAGCCTCCACCCTGAGGCCCCCCACACCTCCCCAGCTTCTCCTGTCCTCCTCCTCACACAGTCTGTGATGTAGCCAAGCGATAGCACCAAAAGCTTCCACACCACAGCCAGAGTTTCCCGGCTGTGTCTTTGTTCTTGTTCTTCCCACCAGAAATCCCTTTCCTCATCCCAATCTGTCATGATCTTCCCTATACCTGTAGGTCTCTAAAAACCAAGGCTGGGCTCGGTGGCTCACGCCTGTAATCCCAGCCCAGCACTTTGGGAAGCCATGGTGGGCGGATCATGAGGTCAGGAGTTTAAGACCAGCCTGGCCAACATGGTGAAACCTCATCTCTACTGAAACTACAATAATTAGCTGGGTGTGGTGGCGGGCGTCTGTAATGCCAGCTACTGGGGAAGAAGAAGAAGGAAAAAACCTAGATAGGTTTATACAGTGTTTTTTTCTTTTCTTTTGAGACGAAGTCTCACTCTTGTCCCCCAGCCTGGAGTGCAATGGTGTGATTTCAGCTCAGTGTAACTCTGAGAATCTCTGCCTCCCAGATTCAAGTGATTCTCCTGCCTCAGCCTCCCAAGTAGCTGGGATTACAGGCATGTGCCACCATACCCAGCTAAATTTGTGTTTTTAGTAGAGACGGAGTTTCTCCATGTTGGTCAGGCTGGTCTGGAACTTCTGACCTCAGGTGATCTGCCAGCCTAGACCTCCCAAAGTGCTGGGATTATAGAGGTAAGCCACTGCGCCTGGCCAACATTGTTTTTCTGTAAATTATAAAAGTAATATATGCAAAGTGTAATCCCAGCACTTTGGGAGGCCAAAGTAGGATCACTTGAGTCCAGGAGTTCAAGGTCAACATGGGCAATGTAGTGAGACCCCCACCCCCCACCATCTCTACAAAAAAAAATTTTTTTTTAATCAGCCAGGAAGGATGGCAAGCACTTGTAGTCCCAGCTATTCAGGAGGCTGAAGTGGGAGAATCACTTGAGCCCCAGAGGTTGAGACTGCAGTGACTGTACTCCCCCCTGGGTGACAGCAAAACCCTGTTTCCAAAAAGCAAGCAAACAAACAAAAAAACACAAAGAGTTTAAACAGTGTTTCTCTTTAAGTTATAAAAGTAATGTATGGGCCGGGCGCGGTGGCTCAAGCCTGTAATCCCAGCACTTTGGGAGGCTGAGGCGGGTGGATCACGAGGTCAAGAGATCGAGACCATCCTGGTCAACATGGTGAAACCCCCGTCTCTACTAAAAATACAAAAAAAAATTAGCTGGGCATGGTGGCACATGCCTGTAATCCCAGCTACTCGGGAGGCTGAGGCAGGAGAATTGCCTGAACCCAGGAGGCGGAGGTTGCGGTGAGCAGAGATCGTGCCATTGCACTCCAGCCTGGATAACAAGAGCGAAACTCCATCTCAAAAAAAAAAAAAAAGAAGTAATGTATGTACATGATATAAAATGAAAAGCAAGTTCCCGTCTTCCCCTAACCCCTGCAGGGTCACTCCACAAATAACCTTCCAGAAAGATTTTGTGGATCTACCAACAGATATATGTCTGTTCTATTCAAATCTGGGTAAATGGGATTATACTTAACATGCAATGTGCTTTTTTTTAAACTTATAAAAGGTGGAGATAATTCCTCATCAGTACATGTATAGCTGCCTAGTTGCTTTTAACAGCTGCATGACATTAACACAAATTATACCCCCTGCCTAGTTAACGCTCTTCCCTCTGGCCTGGCAGGTGTGCCTTGCTGCAGCCAAGGCTGAGCTCAGCATCCCTGCACCTATGTGGCTGGGCAGCATGCCATGCTTGCATGGGACAAATTCCTGACACCAGCTTAAACACCACCATGAATCCCTCCCCTCCTGGGGACTCCAACAGAGCTTCCAGTAGAGCTCCAGGAGAGAGGACCCAGCTGGGGCGTTTGTAGCCACGTTTGTTAGACTGTAAGGTCAAATCGTGAGTGAGTTTAAACCCCAGCCGCTGCCCTCACATTGCCCTCTGCCTCCGTTTTCTCATCGCTAAAATGGGGATGATCATATGGTACCCACTTCATAGAACTGTACCACAGGTTAAACAGACAAAAGCACTTTGGAAAGGCTAGCTGCTCTCACCCTTCCTGTGACAGTATTGAGTCCCCACGTCATCTCCCCTGTAGAGTTCTGGCACTTTGTGGACAGACCCTGGTTTTGTTCGTCTCTGCACATAACCCTGGAATATGCTGGTTGCACAATAAATGTGGACCCTTACATTTCTGATTAGGAGCACACCCCAGCTGTGGCCCATGCCCCCTCCTTCCAGGCTGTGCCCTCCTGGTTGCCCCAGAGCTGGGGAGGAGAGATGCAATCTCTCAGGATAATCCCCAGCAGCCAGGCACTCCCCACTGCCACCCAGAACAGTGATAAACACCAGAGTGCTGGGCTGGGGGGCAGAGTGGCTCAGGAGCTCTCTAAGGGCTGGAGATTTTGGCTCTGCCCTGACACCCCCACCCCCACCCCTCCAAGCCTGAGTCTCTTCAAACTCTGCTCCTCCTGGTCTGGCCAGGCCTCCTGAGGCAGGACTGGCAAGATGATAGCGCTGGGGCTGAAGACGGGGCATCCAGACCTTGGAGTTCGGTCCTAGCTGCTCTGGCCAAGGTTTTGTTTGTCAAGTCCCAGGAGGGAGGCCAAGTCAGGTCCTTGGAGTTCAGGGAAGAGAGAAGGATCCAACCCGGGCAGATAGACCCAAGCAGAGGGGCCAGGTGTCCCAGCGTCCCCAATCTCCAGTCTGGCTCTGGCCCGCATGGCAGCTGGAAGGGCCAGAGCTGGGTGGGTCCTGTCAATGCTCTCGGGGGAGAGGGAGGGGGAAGTAGTCACGAATGTTGGCCTTAGCTACAAGGCAAATGCAGATAGGACCTCCACGGGGTGCCTGTTCCCAGCCCAAGGGCACAGCAGAGCTAGAAGCGAGACCTCGGGGTCCAAGCCCAGTTTTCCAGATAGAGAGCAACTAGAGATTAAAAGGGTCGAGGGAACAGGCCCACTTGGCCTGAGGATGAAGGCGCCGGAGGAAGGAGTTAGGAGATTGGGCGCTGTTTCTTGTTACACTTGTTATTAGGAGCAACCCCCAGCTGTGGCCCACTGCCCCAATTCCAGCCTGTGCCCTCCTTGAGGCCCCAGAGCTGGGGAGGACAGATGCATCTGGATTGCAGACTGCAATCCAGACCTAGATGACGTGCTTGGTCTGGGGTGGAGGGAAGACGCCAAGAGGGAAATTCCCGGATGGCGCCCTGAAGAGGCCAGCTCGGGCGAAAACAGGGAGCTGCCCAGGCGATGACCCAGCCGGGTGGCCGGCGGGGGCGGGAACGCAGGAAGCAGGCGGAGCCCAAGGCCGCGTCCAGGCCCCGCCCCGCCGGCAGCGCGCAGGTAGGGAAGAGGCGGAGCGCCGCCGCCCCGCCCCCAGGAGCCGCCGCCCGGCCGCTCGCAGGCGCCGCTCGGAGCCTAGTCCCGGGGACTCGGGGTCGCAGGGAGGTGAGCGCGGGGCGACGAGCGGGCAGAGCGCACGGCCACCCAGCCGCAGGCGCCAGACAGGTCCCGAGGCTGGGCCCCAGCCTGCCCTGGAGCGGCGGTGCGCGGCCAGGGAGGGTGCCCAGTGCCTGGTGCCCGCCCTGCGGAGCGCCCGGGTCCCACGTGGGCTCGGCCGGAGGCCTGGGCTGTCTGGGACGGCGCCCGCGGGGCCTCTGGACCCGGTCTGCGGGCCCCTGGGCTCGGCTCGGAAAGGACGCCTAAGGGGTCCCTGGGCAACGGGGCGCCAGATGTGGAGGCAAGACGACTGGGCAGAAGTTTAAACCTCCGGAGGAAGGGGGGGGACTGAGCAGGGCAGGACCGGGTAGTCCCGCCTGCGCCCCAGAAGAGCCTGCAGTTCAGACTCGACTCTCCTCTCCCCTCCGCTTTCCCCCGGTTGAGCATCCGGCGGCCCCGGGCCGAAGTTTGTCGGTTGAGCCCAGCCAAGATAGAACAGGTGCGGGGTGAGGATGGGGGAGCCGGACTCACCCAGGAGCCCGGACTTCTGGATGGGGGGCTGGGGAAGGTTGGCCCTGGGCTTGCCTTTTACCTAATTGGCCCCTCGGATGTTCCCGCAGAGCACTGGGTTAGAGACGGATGAGTCCCCTAGGGTACAGACCCCGCGCCACTTCCACCCCAGGGCGCAGAGGGAGCCCCGGTTTCAGCCCCTGCCCCACTCCATGAAAGACTAACGAGGCGGCTCTAGGGTTAGGGCTGCTGAGTGGGTGGCAGCGGGTGTGTCTGAGGAGCGGGAGGCTGGGGGAGCTGACCCTACATGGGGAGAGACTGCTGTTGCCTGGGCAGCCGGCATCAGGCCCCCAGTGTATGCCATTTGCTGGTAAAATAAGGAGACCAACGTCTGTCTTACTTGACCGCCATTGTTTGTAGGGCAGGGCGTGGAAAGAGGGGCGTGTTAGAACGGTGGTTCTCAACCGGGGGTGACTTTGCCTGCCATGGGATGTGTGGCAATGCTGGAGTCATTTTGGGTGTCACACATTTGGGAGGGGAAGTGAGTGTTGTTGTTACTGGCAGGTAGTGGGTGGAGGCAGGGATGCCACCAGACATCCTTCAGTGCACAGGGCAGCTCCCACCACGGGGAATTATCCAGCCCAGGGCAGTGTGCTGTGGTCAGGTGCCTTCTCAATGGTTCTCCCTCAGTGAAACTACCTGTTTCCCCAGTGGTTAGGGGAGGAACTTGGAGGAACCCTAAATGAGATAAGAAGGCAGCATGAGGGCAGTTATTCACCTCGAAAGAGTCCTTTGGTGCCATGAGCCACCGCCTTCCCCATCTCCACTGGCCCTTTGGGAAGCTGGTCTAGATGCTGTAGGTTGGGGGAGGGTTGAGAGCAGGGGCCCCCTCGAAGCCGGGGTCTGAGTGCTTAACCCCAGGGCAGTCTCCCAGGTAGGCTGGGCCGAGGCAGTCCTTGAGCTCAAATATCCCTGCTCTGGGAGGGCGGGCAGAGGGTGAATTCTGTTCCCATAGATTTTTCCAAAGCTGGATTGCTGAGGCTGCCATGGGTGCCTGATACCATGTGACCTGCTGGAATTTTCCCTTGTGAACCCACACCTAACTCCTCTGATTATTTACACCTTTTGAAAGTGACATCCAAGGAGCATCAGAGCTCCTAATTCCTGGGGGCTCCCCTGGCTCCTTTCTCCTGCAATAAAGAGGGTATCCTGGGTTAGCCAACAAGCCCTGGAGTGGGCCCAGCTGCTGGTGGGGTGGGGACATCCCTGCCCTTGTCATTAGCCAAGCAGAGGTGAGAGATGGGAAGCATCAAAGCCCAATCCAGGTGGCCTCTGATAGGGATGACTCAGAATTGTTTGCGTTGGGCTGGAGGAAGCCACTTCCAGTTTTCTGGCAACGAGGAGGGGAGGCTGGCATGGTGGGAGAGGATCGGATGAAACAGCCACATGTGTTCCCAGGAGCCGGGCCACCTCCTGCCCTCCCTCCCTGTTCCCTTGCAGTGGCCATTACACCGTCCTGTTCACTTCTGGACCTGGCTGCTGTGCCTGGTGGAGGTTTTGAGTTTGGGTTGTTGGTGTTGCTGGGTTGTGTTTGGTTTTGTTTTTCTTGGTCTGTCGACTGTAAAAGCCCAAAGTGAAACCCCCACCTTTTCATTTGTACAAAAAACAATGACAGTGGTCCCCACCGCTGTGAGCCTCTCAAGGCACAGGGCTGAGCACCCGGACTTGTACAAAGTTGTTCAGGAAGTCAGCAGTGGAGTTCAAGTGTGAACCCGGCTGCCCACCCTCAGGCCTAGCCCAAGAGCTCCACAGACAAACCCCCAGTGACTCCTACCTGTCTGTATCTGGTGTAAACACACACACACAGATACACACTCACTCCCTCTCCTCCCCAGGAAGGGGCCATTTGTTCCTGGGGAGGAGAGGAGTAAATCACACAAGTGCTCTGGGTGACCCACTTGGGGCCCGAGTCATGCTCTGGCGTCACCAGTGCTGTTTTTCCTGTGGCCTCAGCTCTGGATACTATGGTGGCCTCTCCACCAGGGTTTCTGTCCTCCTTGCTGTGTAAACTGTCCCAGACAAGGTGACAGATGACAGCAGAAGTCCAGGAGCTGTGCACGCCTGCCTGCGAGTGTCCAAGTGGCCTGGCCGAGCCGCCTGGTGTTACCCTTTGGGCCTGGTCCCCGCCTACTGCTGGCACAGCACAGGGGAGACGTGTACCCTCCTGGCTGCCTCTCCCCCTCCGCACACCCCTCAGATCCCTGTGCCTTGCACTTCGGAGCAGGCCTTGGAGCTGCCCCTGCTGTCCCAGGGGTTTCCAGAGTGAGCTCACACATCTGACCGGCTGCACTGGCTGTCAGTTTCCTATCCCGCTGAGCCAGGCAGGGGGAGGAGTGGTGGGGACATCTACCGTGCCCAAGACCTCGGCATTGTGGCGGCTGGGCAGGGCATGCTCAGGGCACGGGTGGCTTCACAGGGAAACCAAGCCTGCCTGGAAAGTCATTTTGCCTCCCTAGGAGACCTGGATGGGTGTAAGGGAAAACTCATCTTCAGGGACGTACAAAGCACCAGTCTGTCCACGGTCCCTACTTCGGTAAATGGATCCGGGCACCGAGCTGGGAGTTGTTTGTGGTCCCAACGCCGCTGGAAGGCAGTTCCAGCCCCGGTGCCCAGCTCCTCCAGGAAAGTGGTTTCAGCCAAGTGGGCAGTGCAGGAGGTGGGCCAATTAGAGACACTGTGTGAACCGTGAGGGTCACCTTGTCACCAGCAGAAAGGATGTAGAGGGATTCCAAACTTCGGGAGCTGGGCCAGGGTCCAGGGGCACAGTTGTCTGTGTGTGACACAACTGAGGCACAGTTGTCTGTGTGTGTGCTCAGTAGGATGGGGTCACTTAAACAGTCTGTGCCTCGGTTTCCCCAGCTGCACAGTGGCGTCACTAACAGTAATCTACCCGGAGGGTTGTGTGAGGTGAGGACTCCCATGGTGATTTGCATGCAGCCTTCAGTGTAGCGCCCAGCCGTGGCAGGAGCAGTGAGGGGAGCCATCATGATAATGGTATTATGGTGGCTTCAGGTAGGGGCGTGGCTGCTGGTCCGTGGCACAGACCTGGGAGATGGCTGAGGCCCTGCCTCGAGGGCTGTTGAGGACTAGACAGGAGCACACTTAGGAGCAGTGGCGCTGCTGCTATTACTGTTACTCTGTATGAGTGGCTATGTCTGGGGTAGGGGGACCTCAGTGCCTTGGTGGCCAAGGGAAATGCGGGTGGCTTTCCATCTGGGCATGAACTGCTGACCTCTGCTGGGGGGTTCCTGGCCTGCCAGTATGTGTGTCGCTGACGTTGGAGTGGAGGACAGGTCACGGAGTTGGTGCCCCTCAGCTGTACCTTCCTGGTGGAGGTTCCTGAGGCTGGGAGCTGGGCAGAGGTTTTCTCCTCTGCCTCCCCGTGTGGCCCAACCCTGTGGCGGCAGGTGCTGCGGGGATGGCTTTCTGCTCCTGGTCTCTGGCAAGAAACCTTTTCCCTCTCCCAATGGGTCTTCCCAGGTTGTCAGCTCCATGTAGCCATAAGCAGATCTGGAAGAGGACAGTTGGGATCTGCTGTGGGGTTTGGAGTGGGAACAGGAGTTTGAACCTGGGCCTAAGCCCCTGATGACCTTGCCAGCCTGTGAGGAGGCTGACAGCTACCTCTCGCCCTTAGCCTCAACTAAATGAGATCATGTTTGTGGAAGTCCTTTGCCAAGCCGGGCAGTGCTGCCCAGGGAATTAGGTGTTGTCCCTTCTTCATGAATCAAAGGACTTCACACATGGGACTCGCTCCAGCATCGAAGCCACTCAGAGTCCTCACCATTCTTTTGCCCCTGCCTCTCACCAGTGCCAGGCTGGCAGGAGGCTGCAGTGTGGGGGTTAAGACCACGGGACCCTGACTGGGGTTGTAGCCCCACAACTCCCTAACTGTGGGACCTTGGACAGGTGACTTCATCTCTGTCAGTTTCCCCACCTGTCGAATAGAGATCTGTCTCCTGTCGAATAGAGATCTGTCTCCTGTGAGGCTCATGGCTCAGAGACTAAGTGAGTGATGATAGCAGAGCTCAACCTGAGTGCCGGGTGTGTGTCAGGCGCTGCACATCCATATCTGCTGTGGTCTTCCCTGGCTTCCTCCATGGTGGGGCATCACTCCGTCTCAGCAGAGGAGGCAGGCTCCGCAGCACCCACTTGCCCAAAGTCTCACAGCAGGTAGGTGGCCACTGCGGGTTTGAGTCCCATCCCATCTCTGGCCCCTTATCCCTCCTCATTCTTCAGCAAGAGAGCCCCACGCTGCCCCAAAGCAAGGTACAGGGCATGAATAGATGGCTTTGCAGGCTGCTTGGGACAAGCAACCTGGCAGGCTGGTGGCCAAGTGTCCTGAAGCCCTGGCAGCCAATGGGGCTAGGACCAGCCTCTTCCCCGGGAAGCAGGGAGCCGCGGGGCAAGGTTCTGGGAAATCAGGTTTATTAGTGTCTTAATGACCGTTTACAAGCTCAGAAGTGTCTACCTGGCATTTTCCGTCCCTGCTGAGGGGCTCCATGCAGCCAGGGGCAGAACTGGGCCTCCAGAAGTTTCCTGAGTGTGTGGAGGTGAGCGCCCAGGACCGTTGTCAGCTCGCTGGGGTCTGCATGCTAACGCCCAGCCAGCCCAGAACTATTTCTGGCTGGGTGACACTGGGCAAGGTGCTTACTTCTCTGTATAATAGGTGAGACCTTGTACCTCAGCTGAGCTGCTCCTGGGGTGAGCCCTTGTTCAAAGTGACAAAGTCACCTAGATCTTAGCCCCTAGGAGGGTATTAGCATATTATGCATACACAAACTCAGGCTCAGAGATGTTAAGTGGCTTGCCCAAGATCACACAGCAGTTAGGGATGAGCCTATGACCCTGTCTTCTGTCGTCAGGCAGGATTTTACCTGTCTGGAGGCAGGTGGAGATCAGGTGGGCACCTGCGTTGCTGTGGCACCATGTGTGAACGCCCCACCCTGGGAACCCTCCAGTGTCCTGGTGTCTGACCCCAAGTGGACAGGCAGGGCCTTTTGGAGCCACTTCTGACTCCTCCCCTTCACATCGATGCTGAGGGAGCAGAACTGGGGTCTGGCTGCTGCGCATGCCCCTGCCCTTGATTGCCCCAAACCCTTCAATCCAGCTCCAGGCTGGGGAGCTGCTTCATCTTCCCTGGGGTGTGGAAAGCACCTGCATCCCTGCCCAGCTGCTGTCACTTGCCTGCCTCCACCAGCAGCTTTGTTTTGTTGTATTTTTTCTGAGATGGAGTTTCACTCTGTCACCCAGGCTGGAGTACAGTTGTACAATCCCAGCTCAGTGCAACTTCCACCTCCAGGGTTCAAGTGATTCTCCTGCCTCAGCTCCTGATGGGATTACAGGTGCCCCTGCCACACCCGGCTAATTTTTGTGTTTTTAGTAGGGATGGGGTTTCACCACATTGACCAGGCTGGTCTCAAACTCCTGGCCTCAGGTGATCCACCCACCTTAGCCTCCCAAAGTGCGGGGATTACAGGCGTGAGCCACCATGCCCAGCCTCCACCAGCAGCTTTTGAAATCCAGAAATTTCCAGGGGAGGACACTGTGGTGGGTAGGGCCCAGCACTTCGTCCAGCTCAAGAGGCCTGGCTGCACTCCCACTTCCTTTGGTGCCCACCCCTGTGTCTTGCCAGCAGCTGCTGCACCTTGGGCTTCGGGGGTGTAGGGCTTGGGCACCCCCAGCCCAGCCTACTTCCTGGACTGGAAACCCTAGCAGAGGAGGGGGCATTTGTGTATCTGCCATCCCTGCTGGCAGCTGGTCCTGAGAAAGCCCAGATGGTTGGTGCAGAGGGGGCGTCAGGGGCTGGACCACCCTAAGAACATGACACATCCCCCACCCCTGCAACACACACACGCAGGTTCACACCCTCACACGCTGATCTTGGTGGCTACCTGGAGCCCAGTGCCCGCTTCCCGTGTCTGTGGTTGGCTTACAACGCCCCAGCCACTCTAACTGGGTTAAGGGGAGCCCAGAGCCTGGGGTCTGATGAGAGGAGGCACAGGGCCTCAGTTGAGAGGAGTTTTGAGGCTTTGGGAAAAATCCCAAAGAAGTTGGGATGGTTAAGCTCCTGAGCCTGCCCTTGGGGTCTTGAGCTTCTGAACTGAGTTTGGGGTCAGCCCTGGAGAGGCGAGGAGGAGAAAGAAATGGCTCCCTGGGTAAGGGCCCACAGTCCCGTCCGTGGGATGTCTGGGAGGTGTGGGAACCTATAGGCCATTTTGTTTTTCTCTGTCAGTGGCTGCGGTCTGAAGCATGTGCCAGTGGAGTGGGTTGAGATCGTGTCTGCACCCACTTGCCACCAGCTCCGGTCTCTGGGGAGGTGGTGCTGAGAGGGAGGGAGAGAGGCTCCTGTTTGGCTTTTGGAGACTGACAGCTGGGTGTCCCACCCTTGGAGTGCCCAGCCCCCCTCCCCTCCGCTTACTCTGCTGATGGAGCTCACACTGCCACCGGCTTCTGCCCCTTCCAGCCCTGCCTTCCTATTTTGCCTCTTATGACTCTCCCCAAATCCTGCCCCCAGACCCCAGCCAGTCGTCTTGCCACTTTCCTGCCCTTTACCCTTGTCCCTTCTACCTCTCGCCAGAGCAAGGAAGCGTGCAGGGGAGCATCGCTGGCTGCATGAGGCCCAGCCTAGGGAGGTGTGGGGAGAGGTGAGGACAGCTGTGCCATGACCCATCCCTCGGGACTCTGGGGCTGGAGAACTCCTCTGGGGTCAGCAGAAGCAGGGTTTTTTCCGGGGGTTGCACAGTGGGTGAGTCCCAGCTTCCTCTTTGCAGCTTTCTAAAAATGCTCTGGTTTCCAGCAGGGCCACAGGCAGGGAAAACAAGTTTCAGTTTCTGCCTCGCATCCTGTGATTCAGCCAGGAAGATGTGGCCCCAGGCCTCCCCCCCGCCCCCCTTCTGTCCTGACTGCCCACTCCCAGGGACACCGGGTGACTGCTTCACCCTGGAGGTGGCTTCTGGCCCAGGGGGTGGTTTCCTCACTTCCTCTCTTCAGGTGGCTTGAGCCCCTCCCTTCAGGAGGTCCCCTAAACCTCCTGGTCATATCCAGTGGTTAATAATGGTCTCCCTCCTTCCTGTCTGGAGGGGAGGGGGCTGCTTACTCTTTATCCAAGGGCCTGTCCCCCACTCTGTCCCAGGCTTGGCCCTTGCATCAAGCCCTGTGTTTTCCTCCGATCTGCCCCTGCATGCTCTCCCTGCCCTGGCCCATAGAGCACTCCCTGCCCTGGCCCATAGAGCACATAGAGCCCAGGGCTTGTGGGGACTGCACCCTACAAGACCCGCAGCCTCTAGAAACTGTACCCTGAAAGACCCGCAGCCTCTAGAAACCCACTCCTATAGGGGGGTTGTGGGGGGATTGGTGGCACCAGGTAGGGGGAGAGAAGGAACCACACCCGGGGGAGTTGGGAGGGGCAGTAGGCTGGCCCTGCATGTTGGAGTGCGGCTGGTGCAGTCCGAATTGGGGGTGCCCTTGTACCCTGCCTGGGCTGGCTGGTAGATCTCTGTTGGGGACCTCCCTGGCAGTGGCCTTGCTTACCCAGCTTCGAGGGACAGGTTTGGTTGGGAGTGCCCAGCCCCACCCTTTGTGGGGAAACCGGATTCTCTGGGCAGCAGTGGTAAATGGTGTCTGAGTCTGCATTTCTGTTGGATGTGCTTGAGCTCAGCTGCTGCTAGCTGAGTTCTGCTATCTCCAAAGCTATCTGCAGTTGGGGAGGCCCTGAGCCTGGGCAGGAGAGGGTACAGAGGCCCCAGCCAAGGGACCTGGGGGTGATCTGAACTCTGCACTCTCTCAGGATCTCCCTGCCCCACCCTAAAGGAAGAAGAAATAGAGTCTGTCTCACCCTAGCCCCTGTCCCTCTCCCAAGGTCCATTTGGCATCTCCCAGCTGGGCTGGGGCAGGAGGCTGGGATCCAGCTGGGCAGGTGGCAGGGTTCCGCCTGTGGGCTGTGTGCGGAAGCAGGCCTGGGGTCTTAGAGAGCGGCGGATGTGACTGCAGGCCAGGAGGAAGCCTGGTCCCAGGATGTCACCATTTCCCCTGCAGTGAGCAAGCATTTCTGGGGCAGGAGATAAGTGCTGGGTGGGGCAACTCCAGCTCTCCAGCTCTTTTTTCTGCCTGGTCCCTGTTATCTGGACTTGAGCCATGCTAAAGGCCAGAGAGGGTCTGATAGTCCCCACTCCTTTCCCCGCTGAGCCCCAAGGAAGGGGGCTGGGCTTTTGCACCCCCACCCCAATGTCTGCACAAGTTGCAGGCAGTTGGTCTCAATGGTGGAAAGTGGCTGGTGCAAAGTAATGCCTTCCTTCTTTCTTTTTTTTTTTTTTTTTTTTGAGATAGAGTCTTGATCTGTCACCAGGCTGGAGTGCAGTGGCACAATCTTGGCTCACTGCAACCTCCGCCTCCTGGGTTCAATTGATTTTCCTGCCTTAACCTCCCAAGTAGCTGGGACTATAGGTGTGTGCCACCACACCGAGCTAATTTTTGTATTTTTAGTAGAGTTGGGGTTTCACTATGTTGGCCAGGATTGTCTCAATCTCTTGACCCCGTGATCCGCCCACCTCGGCCTCCCAAAGTGCTGGGATCACAGGCGTGAGCCACTGTGCGTGGCCAAAGTATTGCTTTTATATTCCGTGTTTGGGCTTTGTCGGTGTCAAAGCTGGGCTGTGACCTTGTCCCATTCCCTCAGAGAAGGGAACTGAGGCAGGGGGTGGAGCTGCTCACAGGCCGCTGCCTAGGCCTCTTGTGCTCTGAGGTTCAGGTGGCGCTCCCGTGTCAGGCTCCTGCCCCAAAGGCATAGCTGCCCACCCCTGCGCTGCCCCTGCTTGCTGTCTGGTGTCAGGCCACCTCTCTTTGGGACTCCCCTCCCTACCGATTGCCCTGGGGCTGGCCAGGCTCTCCTCTTCCTCAGTGTTGGGTCTTGGGAGCCCCTCTCATTCTCATCAGGAGGTTGGCACAGATGCCAGCAGTGCAATGGCTCCTGGGCAGGGGTCTCATCTGGGATGGCCTGGCCTTGGGATGGGGTGCTGGCTGAGCAGAACCCCGTAACCAAAAGCAGTGCCTACGGTGAGCTAGGGAGCTAGGCAGGGAGTCTAGCGGGGAGGCCCACTGGAGATTCGTCCTGGGACAGCATCCAGCGTCCTCCAGCCTGGCCATGCTGTGGATGCAGAGCCAGCAGGGTGGGAGCTCTCAGTGAAGCCCTCAAAGGGGGCTGCTTCCTGGACCAGCTGCAGGATGGGGGAGACCGCTTCTGTCCAGGGCTTATGTGGACGGACTGCCCATGCCTAGCCCCCCAGCCCCCCCCCTCACTAGCTTCACATGCAGTTAGCCATTAATGAGGGCCCCTGGGGTAGGGGACTCCACAAGTAGGTAGATCTGCAAGATGCTGGAGAGAGCGGGCAGTAAAGTGATTGACTCTCTCTGGGAGTGACATTTTCTTTTCTAGTAGGGCTTGGCCAGGCAGGCAAGGTGGAGCATGGTGGGCCAGGTACAGGGCTTCGAATGAGGAGGTGAGAGCTTGGAGGCGGCACAGGGATGTGGCTTGTCTGGTGAGGGTGTGGCAGGGAGGGCAGACCTGAAGGGACCTCCAGGGAGGTGTGATCAGCTCTGGCTTCCAGAAAGATCCTACCTGCTTGGCGACCTTAACTAGCTGGAGTCTGGAGTCCCCACCCTTGCACCCGGTTCCTTCCGCTGCCTGCCTCCCACTCCCCAGTGCTAGTTCCCCAGGGCAGTACCCTCCCAATGCCCTCTTGCTGTACCCTGGTCCCAAAGGAGGCCAAGCTATGAACGTTCCCTGCAGAGGCCCCGGTGAAGCTGTGGTCTTGGAGCTGTTCCCAGAGCAGTCTCAGGATGAGGGGACCTGGCCACAGCTTCAACCAAGTGGGGTCCCTCGGTGGCTGCCAGGACTCCTCGGTACCAACCCAGCCCAGTGGGTTGATCTCTGAGGGCCTCATTTCACTCCACTGGGCAATCTGCCCTAGGGGGTGGGGTCAGGACTCCCCAGCACTTTGGGTGGAAGGAGGTGAAGCCAGCACTGCTGGTCTAGCCTTAAAGAAGCAGGAGACATCGTAGCTACGCCTCAAGATTTCTCCTCTGCACCCAGCATTCTGCTCTCCAAAAGTCCCAAATATGCAGGGGTAAAGGGGCATTGCTCGATGGAATCACTGGGAAGCCTGGGCTGCTCCCCAGCCTCTGGTTTGCCCCATAGCAGCCCCTTGGGCACCTCTGGGGAGCCAGGCCTCTGAGGAGCATTGTTTGGAAAGTGCTGGAATGCTGGACCAAGTTCTCTCTCTGGCTCCTTGAGAGGGGGTCTTCTAGCCCCAGTCTTAGGGCAGGAGGCAGCCTATCCCCTAGGAGCCCCCAGGCCCTGGAGCTGGACATCGGGAGTCCTAGCTGCACCACTTCCTGGCTGTGTGAGCTTGGGCAAGTTACTGAGCCCCTCTGAGCCTCCATTCACCATCTGTAGAATGGAAGAGATGCTAATGTCTCCCTGGAAGGTGTTTCAAAGGGTAATGCATATAAAGGGCCAAACGAGGCCTGGCACAGTTGGGGACTTAATCCTGTCCGGCTTCGGGAGGGCCTCCAGTACCTCAGGGTTCCCCTCAGAGGAGGGCCTGGGCAGGTCTGCTTAAAAACAAACAGGAATGCCTCGGGGTTTCGTGCTTTAAAACAAAACCACATATTTTGGGGCCAGATGGCGGTGGCTAACGCCTATAATCCCAGCACTTTGGGAGGCCAAGGTGGGCAGATCATGAGGTCAAGAGTTTGAGACCTGCCTGGCCAACATAGTGAAACTTTGTCTCTACTAAGAATACAAAAAGTAGCCAGGTGTGGTGGTGCGTGCCTGTAATCCCAGCTACTCAGGAGGCTGAGGCAGGAGAATTGCTTGAACCCAGGAGGTGGTGTGTGCCTATAATCCCAGCTATTCAGGAGGCTGAGGCAGGAGAATTACATGAACCCAGGAGGTGGAGGATGCAGTGAGCTGAGATTGTACTACTACACTCAAGCCTGGGCGACAGATCAAGACTCCATCTCAGGGGAAAAAAACAAAAAACCTCATATATTTAACTTTAAAAGGCCAGGAATTGCTAGCTGCCTTCTGATACTTAGGTAAAGTTCAAACAATCTTGAAGTGTTTTGTTGTTTTGATTGATAATTTATTGAAGTAAAAGCCACACAACATAAAATCAACCATTTTAAAACACGAAACTCAGGGGCATTCCTGTTTGTTTTTAAGAAGACCTGCCCAGACCCTCCTCTGAGGGGAAACCTGAGGTGCCGGAGGCCCTCCCGAGGCCGGGCAGGATTAAGTCCCTAACTGTGCACCACATGGCCTGGAGCTGTCTTCCCCATCCTTCCAGCCATCTGTCTATCTATCCACCCTTCTACAGACTGAGGCTTCACTGCAGAGTATCTGTATAGAACGAGGAGAGGACAAGAACATGCTCTAAAGCCTTTCACAGCAAGACCCGGGAAGAAGCCGCAGGCAAACCCAGACTTGAAGGTAGGAAGCTGGGCAGCTGGATCCAGGGCACTGGCTGCTGCGCCCGGGTGCACCACGTGCAGATGCTGCCCAAGGGGCCCACACTCTGTGTCTGAACAGTGGTGGATAGTGAATGAAGGGAGCAACAGGGAGGGATAAGGGCAGGGAAGGGCTGGGTGCAGTGGCTCATGCCTGTAATCCTAGCACTTTGGGAGGCCAAGGTGGGTGGATCACTGGAGGTCAGGAGTTTGAGACTGGCCTGGCCAACATGGCAAAACCCCATCTCTACTAAAAATACAAAAAAAATTTAGCAGGGTGCAGTGTGGGTGCCTTTAGTCCCAGCTACTTGGGAGGCCAAGGCAGGAGAATCGCTTGTACCTGGGAGGCAGAGGTTGCAGTGAGCCAAGATCATGCCACTGCCCTCCAGCCTGGGCAATGAGAGTGAGATTCCGTCTCAAAAAATAAAAAAGGGGAAGGGAGGGAGGTGGGGCTAGCACTGCTCAAGATTCGGCAGGAGAGAAGAGCTGGCCTGTCTGCTGGGTGACAGTCTGGGACAGAGTGACTGGCTCAGGCAGAGGCCCAGCATTATGAAGCTCCTGCTTCATTGAGAGAAAATTCACACACCAGTGATTCACCCATTTAAAGTGTACCATCGGTGTTTTTATTTGTTTATTTTTTTGAGATAGGGTCTCACTCTGTCACCAGGCTAGAGTGCAGTGGCATAATTGTGGCTCACTGCAGCCTCAGTCTCCAGGCTCAAGCCATTCTCCTGCTTCAGCCTCCTGAGTAGCTGGGACTATAGACATACCACCACACCTGGCTAATTTTTAAATTTTTTGTACAGATGGGGTATCACTATGCTGCCCAGGCTGGACTTGAACTCCTGGGCTCCAGCAGTCCTCCACCTCAGTCTCCAATTGCTGAGATTACAGTGGTGAACCATCACTCCCAACCTTCAGTGGTTTTAATGTATTCACAGTGGGTGGGTGTGGTGGCTCACACCTGTAATCTCAGCACTTTGGGAGGCTAAGGGGGGTGGATCACTTCAGGTCAGGACTTTGAGACCAGCCTGGTCAACATGGCATAATTCCATCTCTACTAAAAATACAAAAATTAGCTGGGTATGGTGGCTTGTGCCTGTAATCCCAGCTACTCAGGAGGCTGAGACAGGAGAACCACTTGAACCTGGGAGGTAGAGGTGGCAGTGAGCCAAAATCACACTACTGCACTCCAGCCTGGGTGACAGAGCAAGACTCTGTCTCAAAAAAGACAGAAAGAAAAAGGCTGGGCACGGTGTCTCATGCTGGTATTCCCAACACTTTGGGAGGCCGATGTGGGCAGATCACGAGGTCAGGAGTTCGAGACCAGACTGACCAATATGGTGAAACCCTGTCTCTACTAAAAATAAAAAAATTAGCGGGGCATGGTGGCATGCACCTGTAGTCTCAGCTACTCGGGAGGCTGAGACAGAAGAATCACTTGAACCTGGGAGGCAGAGGTTGCAGTGAGCCAAGATTTTGACACTGCACTCCAGCGTGGGCTACAGAGTGAGACTCTGTCTCAAAAAAAAAAAAAATTATATATACATATGTATATTCACAGAGTTGTGCCACCATCACCACAGTCAGTTTTAGATTGCTTTCGTTACACCCTAAAGAAAGCTTGTACTCAGGCCGGGCACGGTGCCTCACACCTATAATCCCAGCATTTTGGGAGGCTGAGGCAGGTAGATTACGAGGTCAAGAGATCAAGACCATCCTGGCTGACATAGTGAAACCCTGTCTCTACTAAAAGCATAAAAATTAGCCAGGCATGGTGGCATGTACCTGTAGTCCCAGTTATTTGGGAGGCTGAGGCCGGAGAATTGGTTAAACCCGGGAGGCGGAGGTTGCCGTGAGCGGAGATCGCACCACTGCATTCCAGCCTGGACGACAGAGCAAGACTCTGTCTCAAAAGAAAAAGAAAGCCTGCACCCTTTCGCTGTCACCTCCTCCCTGCCCAGTCCCCACTTATCCAGTCCTAAGCAACCACTAGCCTGATTCTGTCTGTAGATGTCCCTATTCTGGGCCTTCATATGCATGGACTCAGGCAGTGGGTAGCCTTCCATGACTGGCTCCTCTCACGGGGCACAGCATTCTCAAGGCTCGTCCATGTTGTAGCTGTGTCAGGACTTCCTTCCTTTTGTGGCTGAAGGATGCTCCATTGTGTGACTTGACCACATTCTGTATTCGTGCCTTTATCTGCTGACGGGCGCTATTGTTGTTTCCCTTTTCGGGCTCTGGGGAGCGGTGCTACTGAGCACTTCCTGTCCAAGTTTCTGTGTGGACACAGTGCTTCAGTGTGTCAAGACATCCACTCATTCATTCATTCATTTATTTTTGAGACTGAGTCTCACTCTGTTGCCCAGGCTGGAGTGCAATGGCGCAATCTCAACTCACTGCAACCTCCCCGTCCCAGGTTCAAGCAATTCCTGCCTCAGCCTCCTGAGTAGCTGGAACTACAGGTGCCCACCACCACGCCCAGCTAATTTTTGTATTTTTAGTAGAGACAGGGTTTCACTATGTTGGTCAGGCTGGTCTTGAACTCCTAGCCTCAGGTGGTCCACCTGCCTCAGCCTCCCAAAATGCTGAGATTACAGGCATGAGCCACCATGCCTGGCAATGTCATTTACTCATTTGGTCCTGCAGATGCTTCCCTGGGGAGGAACTGTGACTCTCCCCCTTGTACGCGTAAGGACTCTGGGTGAGAACAGGAAATCCTGGGAGAGTGTTGGGCAGAGAGTGACAGATGCGATCTGTGCTTTAAGGAGATCACTTGTCCCAGCTGTGGTGCAGAGAATGATCAGTGTCAGAGGGCTCGAGGCAGCAGGTAGAGGAATTGAGAGAGTAGAGTGGGCCTCCAGGTGAGAGGAGATGGAGGAGGTGTGGTCAAGATGGAGGGAGGAAGACAAGTTCAGAATATACACAGCTGCTGTCTTGCCCACCCGTGCATCCCACGCTTCAGCCCACATATGCCCTTGGCCGAAGGGCTCCCAGGGAGGTGGGTATGGAGTCCCTGGCTTTGAACAAGGAGAGGAAAAACAAAACTTGCCCAGGAACCTTGGGATGTGAGGGAGAGGGGACAGCTGGGGGTTTTAGCAAGAAGACGGTCATGGGCCAGAGCAAGAGATGAAACGAGGAGAGTGAAACAGCTAGAAGGTGTTAATTCCGGTGGAGTCAGAGGAGAATTGGAAACTGGTGGCACAAGCACAGGAAATCCCCAGATGGGGTATTGGGCAAGACCCACTGAAATTCAGGATGGACTTCCTTTAACCCAGCCATTCTGCTTCCAGAACGTGGTCTTGTGATATACTTAAACAGTGCATGTGGCATATGCAAGGGTGTTAGTGTCAACATCAGACCCATGTCTCCAATTCTGGAAACATCCTAAACAGCCAGCAATTAGGACTTAAGTAAATCTTGGTGCCTTCCATTCTATAAAATGTTTGCATCCATCAGCCAGGCCCAGTGGCTCACATCTGTAATCCCAGCACTTTGGGAGGCCAAGGCAGGTAAATCACCTGAGGTCAGGAGTTTGAGACCAGCCTGGCCAACATGGTAAAATCCTCTCTCTACCAAAAATACAAAAATTAGCTGGATGTGCTGGCGGACACCTGTAATCCCAGCTACTCGGGAGGCTGAGGCAGGAGAATCGCTTGAACCCAGGAGGAGGAGGTTACAGTGAGCCGAGATCTCATCACTGCAGTCCAGCCTGGGCAACAAGAGTCAAACTCCGTTTTAAAAAAAAACTTTACATTCATCAAAAAAGTTTTGCCATCCAAAGTGCAGTGGCCTCTGCCTGTAGTCCCAGCACCTTGGATGGCAAAAGTTGCAGTGACCCAAGATGGTGCCACTGCACTCCAACCTGGGTGACAGAGTGAGACCCCATCTCAAAAAAAGAAAAAATGTAGGTCTGTCTGTATGTGTTGACAGAGAAAGATGTCCATGCTACAGATAAGAGAGTGTGGGCCAGGCGCAGTGGCTCACGCCTATAACCCCAGCCACTTGGGAGGCTGAGGCAGGAGAACTGCTTTAACCTGGGAGGTGGAGCATACAATGAGCCAAGAACATGCTACTGCACTCCAGCCTGGGCAACAGAGCAAGACCCTGTCTCCAAACAAAAAATGACATGAGTGTGTGTAGGATTTTGAAGTATGTATTTCCAGGCCCAGAGAGGCCTTCCAGAAGATGAGCGGGAAAAGAGGGTCATCTGCTCACGTTCTGCTTTATAGAAGTCTGATTTTTTTTTCTTTGAGACAGAGTCTCACTCTGTTGCCCAGGCTGGAGTGCAGTGGTGTGATCTTGGCTCACAGCAACCTCCACCTCGCGGGTTCAAGCGATTCTATTCTCCTGCCTCAGTCTCCCGAGTGGCTGAGATTACAGGTACGAGCCACTGTGCTTGGCTAATTTCTGTATTTTAATAGAGATGGTGCTTCTTCATTATTTTGGCCAGGCTAGTCTCAAACTCCTGGCCTCAAGTGATCCACCCACCTTCGCCTTGCAAAGTACTGGGATTATAAGCGTGAGCCACTGCACCTGACTCTGTGATTTTTTTTTGCAATGAGCATATGTCATTTATATTGTTAAACAGTGTTCTCACTGTGGGGGGAAAAGTGCCCAGACAAGTGGCAGTTTTCGTTTTTTTTTTTTTTTTTTTTTTTTTTTTGAGACAGAGTCTCACTCTCGCCAAGGCTGGAGTGCAATGGCACGATCTTGGCTCATTGCAACCTCTGCCTCCTGAGTTCAAGCAATTCTCATGCCTCAGCCTCCCAAGTAGCTGGGATTATAGGCATGTGCCACTACACCTGGCTAATTTTGTTTCTGTTTTTTTGTTTCGGTTTTTGTTTTTCTTTTCAGACAGATTATCACTCTGTCACCCAGGCTGGAGTGCAGTGGCGAAATCTTGGCTCACTGCAACCTCCGCCTCCCGGGTTCAAGTTCTGCTCCTGACTCAGCCTCCCAAATAGCTGGGACTACAGGTGCATGCCACTTGGGAGGCTGAGGCAGGCAGATGTCTTGAGCCCAGTAGTTCCAGACCAGGCTGGCTAACATGGAGAGACCCCACCTCTACAGAAAAAGAAAAATAAACCGGGTGGGCTTGGGGGACAGGAACCAGCATAGTAGGTTTCTCATCTCTCTGGGCATTTGGCTGAGCTGCCACTTCCTGCTGCACAGCTCAGGAGCCCTACTCTGAAAGCCACCTGCTTCCTGCGCAGCTGGCCCTGGGAGCATAGCACGAACCTGCCCAGCTGAGCTTGTTGGGAGCACCAGGTTGTCCTGGAGCCTTCTTGTCCTCCCTCAACCCCCCTGTCCAGAGACAAAAGCAGGACCCATTGTCTACAAGAAGCCGCCCTACGCCCCCTGGCCTACCCCTGATGAGGCAGTCAAGAGCACTCCAGCTCTACATTTTTTCATCTTCATACTCTTTTTTTTTTTTTTTTTTTGAGACGGAGCCTTGCTTTGTCACCCCAGGCTGGAGTGCAATGGCGCCGTCTTGTCTCACCCCTCCCGGTTCAAGCGATTCTCCTGCCTCAGCCTCCTGAGTAGCTGGGATTACAGGCATGCACCACCACGTCTGGCTAATCTTTGTGTTTTTAGTAGAGACAGGGTTTTGCCATGTTGGCCAGGCTGGTCTCAAACTCCTGACCTCAGGTGATCTGCCTGCCTCAGCCTCCCAAAGTGCTGGGATTTTCAGGCTGGGTTTAGTCCCCAGAGATATCTGAAACAACTTTGGGCAGGTCGGTTGGTTCTCGGCATGCCTTGGCATCAGGGTCCTGATACCCCGCCACCCCTTCCGCCACCCACCGCCACTCTCCCGGTCTCCATTCCAGCCCTCCTGCCTCCTGCCCACTATGGCCTCTGCTGACAAGAATGGCGGGAGCGTGTCTTCCGTGTCCAGCAGCCGCCTGCAGAGCCGGAAGCCACCCAACCTCTCCATCACCATCCCACCCCCTGAGAAAGAGACCCAGGCCCCTGGTGAGCAGAACAGCATGCTGCCTGAGGTAAGGGGGCCGGCCTGTGGGCTCACTGTCCAGCTACAGGCGACAGATGTGCCCACATGACACCTTCTGGACAGTTTCACTTCCTAGAGAGGCTCTTCCTGAGCCACAGCTGCTGCCTGTGCAGCCCTTGACTCGGCCTCACCCCCTCCTTCCTGGGCCCAAAATAATCACAGGGAGTCAGGCTGGGAACCAGGCTCACTCTCATGGTCAGAGGCGGATAGGAAGTGCCAGCCCCGAGAAGGGGCTTGCTGGACTCTTGGTCTCTCTTCTGAGGGCTGGGGGCTGTCTTTGACACAGGTGAGCAGGGACAGTGTCTCCCTGGCATCAGCAGCCTGCCTAGGCAGTACCCGGTTCCTTTGGAAGAGGGCAAAAATGAATCAGTGTTTCCGACAGTCTGGGCTATTGCTCCATAAAGAGCTCATTGAAACAGGCTCATAGCAGCGTGGGCTTCCCACACAGCCTGGAATATAAAGGGAAGCAATGTGAATACCACCCGCTCAGCCCAGAGCTCTGCAGAGGACGCAGCAGCAGGCAGGAGCATCAGTGCGGAGGGGTGGGACTGGGTGATGAGTGAGGGAAACATGCTGGGCTTGATGGAGAAACGCTACACAATGGCGATTTTAAATTCAGAATGAGGCTGGACACAGTGGCCTCATGCCTGTAATCTCATCACTTTGGGAGGCTGAGGCAGGCAGATCACTTGAGCCCAGGAGTTCAAGACCAGCCTAGACAACATAACAAGCCCCTGTCTCTGGAAAATACTTAAAAAAAAAAAAAATGAGCTGGGTGTGGTGGCACCGCCTGTAATCGCAGCTAGTCTACTTAGGACATGGAGGTAGAAGGCTTGCTTGAGCCTGGGAGGGTGAGGCTCCAGGGAGCTATGATGATGCCACTGCCCTCCAGCCTGGGCAACAGAGCAAGACTGTCTCAAAAAGTATGTATGTAGGCCAGGCAAGGTAGCTCACGCCAGTAATCCCAGCACTTTGGGAGGCCAAGGCGGGCACTTCACTTGCGGTCAGGAGTTCGAGACCAGCCTGGCCAACATGGTGAAACCCCATCTCTACTGAAAATATAAAAATTAGCCAGGTGTGATAGCGGGTGCCTGTAATCCCAGCTACTTGGGAGGCTGAGGCATGAGAATCACTTGAACCAGGGAGGTGGAGGTTTCGGTGAGCCAAGATTGTACCGCTGCACTCCAGCCTGGATGATAGAACAAGACTCCATCTCGAGAAAGCATATATACATATACATATATTTACAATGAAAGCAGATTGGGGTTGAGGTTCGTTCTCAGGGTTTTCAGAATGGGAGGCTAAAGAAGAGCCAACCTCGGACCTGGGCTGCACACGTCACTGCCTGCCCTCCCTCCTTCTTCCCCAAGAGGCCCAAGAACCCAGCCTTCTTGAAGAGCGTCAGCCTCCAGGAGCCACGGGCCCGATGGCAAGAGAGCTCAGAGAAGCGCCCCGGCTTCCGCCGCCAGGCCTCGCTGTCCCAGAGCATCCGCAAGTGAGCCCCACACCCAAGCTCAGCACCCCCCACCCAGCAATCTGTGGATTCCTGGTGCCTGGACATTACTGGGCCTGGTCCCTGCGTCCCTGCTCTGGAAGGAATAGGCAGGCATTGAAGAGCAGTGTCCTGCAGCCTAATGTCATGGTAGAGAAGGGGAGGTGGGTGTGTCCCTTGCGGAATGTCACAGTGTAGAGGCTGATGGGGTTCAAGGATCTCGCTGGATCAGCGTGGGGGTGCCTGTGGCCCTAGTCTGGCTCCTCACGCTCTAGTCCTCCCCTGCTTCTGCTCATCTGGTCACTGGGCTCCAGCCAGGGGCCTCACAGGTGGATCCGCCTCCCAACCCCCTGCAGGCACACAGGCACACATGTGCCATCACCGCTTCCACACATTCAGGTGCACAGGCACAGACAAGCTCATGCCCACCTGCTCCTTGTCTGCTCCTGCAGGGGCGCAGCCCAGTGGTTTGGAGTCAGCGGCGACTGGGAGGGGCAGCGGCAGCAGTGGCAGCGTCGAAGCCTGCACCACTGCAGCGTGCGCTACGGCCGCCTGAAGGCCTCGTGCCAGCGGGACCTGGAGCTCCCCAGCCAGGAGGTGCCATCCTTCCAGGGCACTGAGTCCCCAAAGCCCTGCAAGCTGCCCAAGGTGGGATCCACAGGGAAAGGGGACAGGGGTGGGGACCCTAGTGGCTCTGCTCACTGCCCCCTCCCTTCCAGATTGTAGATCCACTGGCCCGGGGCCGGGCCTTCCGCCACCCGGAGGAGGTGGACAGGCCCCATGCCCCACACCCACCGTTGACCCCAGGAGTCCTGTCCCTCACCTCGTTCACCAGCATCCGCTCTGGCTACTCCCACCTGCCACGCCGCAAGAGGATGTCTGTGGCCCACATGAGCTTCCAAGCTGCCGCTGCCCTCTTCAAGGTACAGGGCCCCCTCCTGCAGGGCCCCTGTCTCACCCCACCTCTGCCCAGCCTCCCTTGCCCCTCCCTTCCGCTCCTCATAGGAGCATCTCCTAAAGCTCACCTGGGCATCTGCCTTCAGTGCCAAGGACAGTGGGTGTGCTGGGATCCCGGGGCAAAGAGGGACCCCAAAGCATAGCACCCCGGCTTCCATCCTTCCGTCTGTCTTCAGTCTCTCTGACCCCCCGGCACCTGCCTAGTTTGGGAACCTGGTCTCTGCACTGACTGTAAAGCTGGGGAAGTGGGAAGTGAGACGTGCACTTGCTCCTCACCCACCCGGGTTTGCCCAGTCCCTGTTATGTGCTGGGCACAGCGTGCAGAGCCATTGCCGTCCTGGCTGAGCTCCCAGCCCAGGGTGAGGGTCACCATTCAGGGTGGTCAGTTTAGGAGAGCGGCTGGTATCAGGGAAGACATCGAGTTAAGCACAGAAAAACGAGGAGATGTTCACTAGGGAAGGAAGGGAACAGCATTCTCAGCAGAGGGAATGGCCTATGCAAAAGCCAGGAGGCTGGAGGAAGTGCGGTGCTTTGAGGGAGCAGCAGGCGGTCATGGGAGCAGTGGCAGGAGATGGGATCTGGTATTCTTTGCCAAGAAACAGGATGGAGACATGGCCTGAGCCTCGGGAGTAAGGGTATAGCCTGTGGGTTGCTTTGAGTGTTAGGATACCAGCAGCCCAAGCCAGAGGGGCAGCAGGACCAGGGGAAGGTGACTCCAAACTGTGCCAAGAGTGGTGTGCCAACAGAAGCTGGTGCCCCATTTCCTGACCTTCTGGTCTCAAGAGCTCCTCCTGGCCATTCAGCTTGCAGAGCCATGCTTTGGGCAGGATCCCTCCGCCCAAGGTGCTGTCTGCAGGCAGATGGACCTGATGATTCATTCGGTGCTGGGGCTGGGGGTCTGGATGGCTGGGCCCTGGTCCTGATGCCTGTGCCTCTGCCTGTGCACAGGGGCGCTCAGTGCTGGATGCCACCGGACAGCAGTGCCGGGTGATCAAGCGCAGCTTTGCCTTCCCGAGCTTCCTGGAGGAGGATGTGGTTGATGGGGCAGACACATTTGACTCCTCGTTTTTTAGTAAGGCAAGCATGGGGTATGGGCCCTCAGGGACGGGAGGGGTGAGGTGGCCTGGGAGCTGGGTGAGGAGGCCAGAGGCCCACTGGCAGAATGTGGCATGGTCCTGTGTGGAGCTGCTGGGCCCCCATCTTTCTGTTGGGTAGAGTGAGGATCTGGGGTGGGGCACAGTGCCACCCGGGAAAGTCACCACTGGGGCTGACAAGCATGTGGCTTCCCGCTTCATTGGGAAGAGCCTGTCTGTCCAGCTGTGTCCTGCCCTTGAACTGAGGTGCTGAGGTGCAGTGTTTGGGACAGACTCCTTACACTGTGTTTTCTTGTCCCCCACCCCAGGAAGAAATGAGCTCCATGCCTGACGATGTCTTTGAGTCCCCCCCACTCTCTGCCAGCTACTTCCGAGGGATCCCCCACTCAGCCTCCCCTGTCTCCCCCGATGGGGTGCAAATCCCTCTGTGAGTGCTAGGGCAGTACCTCCTCCAGGCCAGCCACCAGCCCAGGGACATCCCCAGACCTCACCCTGGCCGCCAAGCCCTTTCTGATTACCCTGGTGGGGTCTGGGAGTATTTCGGGGAGTGGACATCAGGCTGAAAGCCACCATCCCCACCAGGAAGGAGTGTGGCCGAGCCCCAGTCCCCGGGCCCCAGCGCGGCAAGCGCATCGCCTCCAAAGTGAAGCACTTTGCCTTTGATCGGAAGAAGCGGCACTACGGCCTAGGCGTGGTGGGCAACTGGCTGAACCGCAGCTACCGCCGCAGCATCAGCAGCACCGTGCAGCGGCAGCTGGAGAGCTTCGACAGCCACCGGTGAGGCGCCGCCTTGGAGCCTCCAGGAGGACCTGGAAGCTTCCAGATTCCTCTGGGCCCTCGTGAAGCGCCCCCTGACTCATTCAGTGAACCTTTCATGAGCATCTCCTGCGGGTCAGGAGTATAGTGACACCCTCTGTCCCAAGGGCTGTGCACGTGACCTGGGAAGGGCCTGGGTGCTTGCTGCCTCTCCTCCACCCCATGCTTTCTGAGCCTGCATCCTCAGCCTTGCTCCCAGAGAGCAGCCAGTCAACAAATGTTCATTAAGTGTCACTGCCTGCAGGCCCTGAAATGGAGCCCCCCCGGAGGTGGAGATGGGAGGGCAGGCTGGGTCAGGGGCCAGTTAGACGCTGGGGCCAGGGCTCATGCTTGTAATTATAGCACTTTGGGAGGCTAATCAGACCAGCCTGGGCAACATAGTGAGATCCTACCTCTACTTTCAAAAAAGAAGCTGGGGGCCGGGCATAGTGTCTCCCACCTGTGATCCCAGCACTTTGGGAGGCCAAGCTGGGCAGATCATTTGAGGTTGGGAGTTGGAGACCAGCCTGACCAACATGGAGAAACCCCACCTCTACTAAAAACACACAATTAGCAGGGCATGGTGGCTCATGCCTATAATCCCAGCTACTCAGGACACTGAGGCAGGAAAATCACTTGAACCTGGGAGGTGGAGGTTGCAGTAAGCCAAGATCACGCCATTGCACTGCAGCCTGGGCAACAAGGGCAAAACTCCATCTCAAAAAACAAACGGGCTGGGAGTGAGGGGACCCTGGGGGAGGCTATACAGAGCCCTTGGGGAAGAGGAACAGGGCTTCTGATTTGCAGCAGCCCAAAAACACTGGGCCCAAATTAGAAAACAACAAGGTGGCTCACACCTGGAATCCCAGCACTTTGGGAGGCCAAGGTGGGCGGATCACCTGAGGTCCCAAGTTCAAGTCCAGCCTGGCCAACACAGTAAAACCCTATTTCTACTAAGAATACAAAAAAAAAAAAAAAAATTAGCTAGGTATGGTGGGCGCCTGTAATCCCAGCTATTCAGGAGCCTGAGGCAGGAGAATGGCTTAAACCTGGGGACAGAGGTTGCAGTAAGCCAAGATTGCACCACTGTACTCCAGCCTGGGTGACAGAGTAGAACTTTGTCTTAAAAAAGAGAAAAAGAAAAGATAGGTGTTGTGGGAGTCCCAGAGCAGGACCGAGAGTGAACAGCTGGTGGGGAGGGGTGCAGTTATGATCAACAGTGGTATCGTGCAAAAGCCCTGGGGCCACACAGAACAAAGTATCCCAGGAAATGCAGGCAAAGAAGCCACAGACGTGGTCGGGCAGGTGAGGCTTTGCAGCCAGCAAGAGGGAATTTGTCCAAAGCACAGTGGAAAGCTGTGAGGGTTTTAAGCCGGGAGAGAGATGCTTGGAGGTGCATCTTCAAAGTTGATCTGGTTTGAGAAGGGCTGAGGGGGCGGAGCCAGGCGACTGGGCCAGGGTGGTCCCATGGCTGGGACTGGAGATTGGCATAGGAGCTCGGCTCGACTGACCCAAGGCCTCTCTACACAGGCCCTACTTCACCTACTGGCTGACCTTCGTCCACGTCATCATCACGCTGCTGGTGATTTGCACGTATGGCATCGCACCCGTGGGCTTTGCCCAGCACATCACCACCCAGCTGGTGAGTCAGGCTCCATGCTGGGAGTTCCAGCCTCCCCTAGGAGGCCTCAGTGTCGTGGGTACCTGATCCCTCCCACCACAACTATCTGGCCCCTTCCTGGAGGCTCCGAGCTGGGGGCGGCTGCCCCAGCCCCCCACACCCAGGGTCCACGCTGTTCTGATGTCCTCCTCTGCACTACCTCTGTGCTCTGTGACAGGTTCTGCGGAACAAAGGTGTGTACGAGAGCGTGAAGTACATCCAGCAGGAGAACTTCTGGGTCGGCCCCAGCTCGGTGAGGGTCCAGGCTGGGGGACATCATCTGAGCCAGGAGTCCCTGTGCCCTGTCACCCCCAGCTGGGCAGGTGGGCTGCTCACCCACCTGTAGGCCCCTCATCAGGGGGAGACTCCACAGAGCAGAGGTGGAGTGATGGACCCATCCCAGGTCTGGAGCCCAAACTCACCCTCTCCCCTCCCCTCCTCTCCCCTCCTCTCCCTTCCCCTCCACTCCCTTCTGCTCCCCTCCGCCAGATTGACCTGATCCACCTGGGGGCCAAGTTCTCACCCTGCATCCGGAAGGACAGGCAGATCGAGCAGTTGGTGCTGCGGGAACGAGACCTGGAGCGGGACTCGGGCTGCTGTGTCCAGAACGACCACTCAGGCTGCATCCAGACCCAGCGGAAAGACTGCTCGGTGAGGGCAGGCCCGCCGTCCCACCCCTGCCGGACCCTGGTCCCAGGCCAGCCTCACTTGCCCTGGCCTGGGGGATGGGCCCTTCAAGGGCAGTGACCACATTCCCTCTTCCCCGCCCCACCCATCCCCAGACCCCGCTAGATGAGACTTAGCCCTGGGAAGATGGAAAAAGCCTCCATCCTTGCCCACTCCAGTAGGTCATGGCACCAGCATGACCGACCAGCCCTCTTCTGCTCTCCAGGAGACTTTGGCCACTTTTGTCAAGTGGCAGGATGACACTGGGCCCCCCATGGACAAGTCTGATCTGGGCCAGAAGCGGACATCGGGGGCTGTCTGTCACCAGGACCCCAGGTAGGGCCTGGAGCCTCTGCTGGGTCTCGAGGTCAGGCCATTGGAGCCACCCACAGGAACGTGGCTGGGTGGACATGGCAGGCTGGGGGTGCCACTGCCCAGTCTGATGTCTGTCTCCAGGACCTGTGAGGAGCCGGCCTCCAGCGGTGCCCACATCTGGCCTGATGACATCACCAAGTGGCCAGTGAGTGTCCCTGGCAGGCATTTCTGGGAAGGTCGGGGACAGGGGACCTGCCCACTGCACAGGCCCACTCCCCTGCCGGTGCCCCTCCCGGCAGATCTGCACAGAGCAGGCCAGGAGCAACCACACGGGCTTCCTGCACATAGACTGCGAGATCAAGGGCCGCCCCTGCTGCATTGGCACCAAGGGCAGGTGAGTCACCTGGGCCCGTCCTCAGCCTGTCCCGCTGCCCCCCAAGCTGCAGTTTCCTGTGGGCCCTCTGCTCTGCCACCATCACCACCCACAGTTGCTGGGTCAATGCCGTCCGATAACTGTCCTTCCCTCCCCTGCTCTGGGGCCACCCATGGTGTGAGCTGGAGGAAGGGAGCTTGTTCCAGAGTTGAAGGCCCTGTAAGAGGCGTCCCCCTTCCTGCCAGCGATGCCTGCTGTCACCAGGTTCTGGGCTCTGGGCAAGGTGGGCAGTGGTTATTCAGGGCCCTGATGCCCCCTCTTGCCTCACCATTGACCCAGCTGTGAGATCACCACCCGGGAATACTGTGAGTTCATGCATGGATATTTCCACGAGGAAGCAACACTCTGCTCCCAGGTGAGGCGAGGCCTGGGATGGTGGAGGAGAGGACGCTGGGGCCGGGGCTCACACACTCCCTCCCAGGCTTCTGGGGCACTGAGCACCATCCGCCTACCCCCAGGTGCACTGCTTGGACAAGGTGTGTGGGCTGCTGCCCTTCCTCAACCCAGAGGTCCCAGATCAGTTCTATAGGCTCTGGCTGTCTCTCTTCCTACATGCCGGGTAAGAGGTTCCTCACTGCCCCCGAACCCGGCCCCTGTGATGGCCACCCAGCCAGACCCCTGGAGAAGGGTTCCTGGGCCTGGGCATGGCCAGCCCAACCCGCCAAAGCCTGCTGCTCCTAAAGCACCTGACTGAAGGCCACGCCTGGTATGTCCCTTCCCCAGTGTGGTGCACTGCCTTGTGTCTGTGGTCTTTCAAATGACCATCCTGAGGGACCTGGAGAAGCTGGCTGGCTGGCACCGTATCGCCATCATCTTCATCCTCAGTGGCATCACGGGCAACCTCGCCAGTGCTATCTTCCTCCCATACCGGGCGGAGGTAAGGACATGGGGGGTAGGACCCTCTTGAGTCTGAAGCCTTTCAGCACGTAGGGGGCCAGTTCTGCTGCTCCTGTTCCACCCACCTGGATCTGCCTGAAGGACATGGGGCCCCTCCTGTGCTGGGCTCCATGGCAGATGGACGGCTAAGCTGGGGGCTTACTGGCTGGTAATCCCAGTGAGAGGGAACAGTGATGCTCCTGAGTCATCCTGTCCCTCCACTGCCTCATTTATCTTCATAACCGTGCCCACTGCCTGGCAGTATGCCAGGTATTTGTAGGTTGAGGGGTAGGAAATGGCTCACATGCGCTATCAGGAGCCTTTGATCGTTCCACCTGACTAATCTAGCTTGCTCAGTGTCCGTCCTCTCGCCTCCGTGTGTGGCCTGGAATTTGTCTTTCTTATTGTTGTGACCCACACCAGGGGTGTACACAGTAGGCACTCAGCATTCGCTGAAAGAATGGACAGAGCAGGCCCAGCTTTGGTCTGGCAGCTCCAGCCGACCCCACCCCTCAGCCTCAGGGGTCCCCAGTGCCTGCCAGGGAGGAACTGACCGATGGGATGACCCAGGGCATAGGCCGGGCCCAGGCCGCCCACCCTTGCCTGAAGCCCTGTCTCCCCTGCCCCGCCCCAGGTGGGACCGGCCGGCTCACAGTTCGGCCTCCTTGCCTGCCTCTTCGTGGAGCTCTTCCAGAGCTGGCCACTGCTGGAGCGGCCCTGGAAGGCCTTCCTCAACCTCTCGGGCATCGTGCTCTTCCTGTTTGCCTGCGGCCTCCTGCCCTGGATTGACAACATTGCCCACATCTTCGGCTTCCTCAGCGGCCTGCTGCTGGCCTTTGCCTTCCTGCCCTACATCACCTTCGGCACCAGCGACAAGTACCGCAAGCGGGCCCTCATCCTGGTGTCGCTGCTGGCCTTCGCAGGCCTCTTCGCTGGCCTGGTGCTCTGGCTGTACATCTACCCCTTTAACTGGCCGTGGATCGAGCACCTCACCTGCTTCCCCTTCACCAGTCGCTTCTGTGAGAAGTACGAGCTGGACCAGGTGCTGCACTGACCCAGGTCCCACGGCTGTGCCATGGCACCGCTGGCACGGGGGCTGCCTGCGAGGGCTGCCCACTGCTGAGTGCCCTGCATGCCACAGACCCAAGACAGTGCCCGGGCTCTGGACCCGGGCCCCCCGGTGCCAGGCGAGGCTGACTCAGTGTGAGATGGTCGGTTAAGCCGGGTTCTTTGGGGACATGAGGCCTGCGTGATCCTGGCTCAAGTTCCGGCACACCCAAGGGACCTGCTTCTCCGAGCCTCGGGTCCCGGGTCCCGACATCCTCCCGCTCCCTGCTGGGACCATCTCCTGGGGGTCAGGGTCCTTTTCCTCCCAGGGTCCTCAGCACTGCCTCTGCTGATGCCTTCTCCCCTTCTACTACCCAAGCGTGCCCTTGCTGGGGACGTGGCTGTGCCCTTAGTTGCCCCAGGGCTGGGTGCCCACCATGGCCCTTCCTGATTGTCCTACCTCTGCCCTGTGAGCCCATCCGTAAGGCTCTCAGATGGAACGTTTCGGGAGAGGCTTTGGCCATAGTCTAGGGGCAGAGGGCAAGCAAGGAGATACAAGCAGACCTCAGGTGGAATGAGTCTGGGTGGAGCCACACCAAGGACTGCTCCCAGCAGGTGCTCAAGGCTCATCAGGCCCGTTTTCTACCAGTTTATATCACAGTCTTAATTTTTGAAAGGAACGCTAACTTTGTACGGATATCTTATGGATTAAATAATTCTCTTTATGGCAGTGTTGTCTCAACGTAGACCTCAGGTAGAATGACCCTGGTGTGTGGGGTGAGGGGTGAGCCATCAGCAGCTCAGAGACTGCGGTTTGGCCCAGTGGACGGCAGAAAACTTGCAGAGCCTCTTAGGGGTTTAGTTGGGCCAGAAACCAGATTGAGTCATGTGAAGACCTCAGGGGATCCACTTGGGAGGGCTGGGTTGAAGGCCCCTGGGGTTCCCATCCCCACCTGCTCAGCCTTGGCTGCAGGGCAGGGAGGGGCTGCCTGGGCCCAGGGGCCACCTGCACTGATGGGGATGGTGCTGAGGAGAAGACACAGCACTTGTCCTGTCACCCCTCCTGGGGACAGGTCCACTCCCTGTGCCCATGCCTCACCCACCACACCGAGGAGCTGCCCAGGAGGCATGGGGCATGACCCCTTGATTACCATGGCCAGAGGGCCCTGCCCCAGCTTCCCTGCCCCAAGCTGCCTCCACAGCACAAGCCACCTCTGCCCCATCCTGCTCCCCACTACCCCCAGGGGCTGAGGGTGAGAAGGGGCATCCATGAGGCTGGGGAGAATAAGGACCCCCTGAGCACTGGGCTCCTGTGAGGACCCGCCTTGGTGCTTTTGCCCACCTGCCCAGGGAGGAAAGGAGGCAAGGACCCAACATCACCTGCCATTGTCCCCATTTAACCCAGCCTGGTCTCAGGCACAGAGTTCAGAACACAGGAGGTCCAGAAGCCTTGTGGGGACAAACGGGACACACCACTCCAGCTCAGGCCGTGAGAAGCCACCCCATCTCTTCTTTATTTAGCCCTGCTCTCTCCACTCTCTGGAAGCTACTGTCTCCATGCTCAGGAGATGAGCCCAGGGCAGAGAAGGGGATCATGTGGGCAGCCCAGTTTAGCAGCCGCTGCTCCTGCGCAGGAAAGGGTAGTTCCGCAGGGAGCAGTGGAGCTCCGTGAAGGTGAGGGAGCCCATGCTGATGGCGCAGGGACCCATGGTGTGGAAGCCGAACCTCTCATAGAAGGGCACCAGCACATCCTCGCACATGAGCACAGCCCGGTGCACAGCCAGCCGGCTGCCCAGGTGGTGCAGGTAGCGCCACAGCAGGATGGGGCCCCTGCCCTGCTGCCGGAAGGCATGGTGCACGGCCAGCACATGCAGGTGGGCTATGTGGCCCCCAGGCCTGTGCAGCATCAGCGACTCCTGGGGGTGAGCAAGGGACCACTGATGTGTGCTTCCCCCCAACCACCTACCCAGGTGGGGAGCAAGGTGTCCCCTGGGTGCCTGGAGTCAGGGCTCCCTTCCCAGCTAAGGAGGGCCCCAAATTGGGAGCCATACCCCTAACCCCATGGAGAAAACTTGAAAACAGAAGGTCTTGCATATGGTGCTGTTCTCAGAGGTTTCTAATCCCCCCACCCCACCTCCCATGCTATACCAGGCAGCTACACCAGGGAGGGGTCCCGCGGCTGTACTCTCTCCAGTACTGGAGGAAGAATTCCTAGCCTCTGGTCTCCCCTCCCCACCATCTGGCTGACCTCTGTCTTCAGAGGTCTCCCCGGAGCTGGGCGTCGCAGCCCCATCCTCACCTGCGTGAGTCTCTCCTTGTCCCAGAGCGAGCCGATGATGAAGGCCACAAGGCAGCCCTCCTCGAACCAGCCCAGGGACAGCTCTGGACACAGGGTCAGGAAGTACCGGATTTCATCCAGGTAGAGAGGGCAGATGCCCAAGACAGAGATGAAGGCTGAGGCAGGAGGCTCTGGTGGGTGACTGGTTAACTGTGCCTTGAACCCACTGCCCACTGCACCCCGAGTGTCCACTCAGATGTCCCGCTCCCCACAGGAAAATGGGGTTTAGGGCTGCTGTTTTCCCCACTTTCTTGAGCACACACCTGGTCTGATACTCTGGGACCCAGCCTCCAAGAACAGGAGACTCAAGGGTCTCCTCCCCACAGGATAGCTGGGCCAGAGTGGAGCACCCCCCAACCCTGTGTGCAGCCACTCACCTTCACGCTCGATCTCAAAGGCGCTGACAGCGTCCTCCAGAGTGAGGCAGCGAAACTCACTGGCAGGGAGTGTGTGGCGCCGCTGACAGCTCAGGGACTTGGGGATCCCAGGCGGCTGATGTGGGGCCTTCGGTTTCGGGGGGTTGGTGCTCTGCATGGACATCCTGGCCACTGCTGCCTCCCTGAGGTGCCCCAGCTTTGGAAGTGGTCTCCTAAGCCAAGGAGGGCCTCCTAGCACCTGGTGGAGAACAGACAGGGGTCTGATCCGCATCTCCAGAGAGGCAGGCCACACAGTGAGCCTCTGGCCTCTTTTGCAGCAAGAACTGGGGCAGAGCCAGCCCCCAAATCGATGGCCACATTCCCCAGGTCCCTGGTTCCCGAGGCTATTACCAGGGACTGCAAACATTGGCACTGGCTCCCCACCTTTCCCTCGCAGCCAAAAGGATTTATGGAGGTTTGTGCCCCTTGCAGACCTGCAGACACTGGTCTCAGGGTGCCTTCTGGGTGCTTCTGAGCCCCAGAGATGGTGGGAGGGATGAGCAGGGCTCAGTGGAGCCTGGGGCACCACAGTCTTACCCTGCGGCACCCCAGCCTTACCCTGCTGCCCACGGTGGGAGAAGATGCAGGACTCGTGAACCTCCAATGACCACATCTAATGCAACTGTGTAGTGGGTGGGTGCCCGGGTCCACCACACCACCATTCACATGGTTTATCTTACTTGCCCAGAGGGAAGATTATAGTCCTTTGGGTGCAAGATCCTGTGGCGGAGAGCTTTTAGGTAGCCTCCGCACTTGACCCTAGAGAAAAAGCCCCTTAATCAAAGTGGGCCCTTAGCAAGCCTCTGCTTCTATCCAGATGGCTCAGACTGGACCACACACATGCAAGATTTGTGCTGGGGGGTGGGGAGGTTAGAGAGAGTCGGTGGCTGCAAATGGCCTGGAGGATGGGGAGGAGCAGGCAAGGAGGGTGCATAGGACACCCCCTGCCCTACATGTCCAGCTCATCAGACATGTCCTCTGGGCACTCTTGTCTCCCAAAACACCCTGCTGATCTGCAGTTCTTAGAGGAGGCCGTCCCTCCCTCCAACTTCCAAGACAATAAGCTCCATGAATTCCACTTTTCCCTCCATGTCTAGAAGCTCCAAGCAGGGAAGCTCCTGTTCCTGACAGCTGAGGGGTCCTTAAAGTGCACCCCTTGCCCTCCAGCTCACACACCATCCTTTGCCCCTTAGTTCTTCTCTCACCGGCACCTACCCATCCCTGCCACTCCCCTGCCATGCCAGCTCCTGCCTCTCCACCCCACCCAGGGGCTGGGGTTCCACCCACCTGGACGGTGAAGAGGGCATTTAGTGTTCCCTTCACAAAGCCAGTCGCCCTAGGGGCCTGTCCGCAGGCACAGGAACCAGGAAAATCCGGGACTCCTGGCTGCAAGGCTGTAGTAGCAGGTGTTACCCGAGCAGCATGTGGTGCTGTTCTCAGAGGCTTCTAATCCCCCCACCCCACCTCCTGAGCTATACCAGGCAGAATGACGCCAGCAGGACTCTGGCAGCCTCACTCCCTGCCCCTGCCTTGCTGAAGGGAAATATCAGCGCTGGTGCCCTGGGCACAGAAGGGATTACCAGAGGCTGACTGAGGCCCCAGGGTTGGGGAAGAGAGCATGGGGCTAAGCCTTAGGGGTCCAGCTCTAATCCCTGTTCTGTCACCGACTGGCTGAGCACCAGCGATCCCACTGTCCCTCTGAGTCTTAGACAAGCCTGCCTCTTCTGTAGGGGAGGTGGTGGGAATTCAAGCTGCCAATTTGTGCACTTTTAAGTAAGTTCCACTTCAAGTTTACTTAAATATTCAGGAGGTTGCTCTACCCAATATCACAACTCCAAAGCTCTCTGACTGCCATTGACCTTGGCTCCACTCATTCCCAGGGCTGCTGGGCCTTGGCACCTGGTGCCTGGTTCCCTTGGATGCAGGCCCCTCTCTCCTGCCTTCCAGCTCACACCCCATCCTGCGCCCCTTCGCTCTTCTCTAGTGGCACATGCCCCGTCTCCCGACACTCCTGCGCTGCCTGCCTGTCTGCCCCACCCAGCAGTGCAGATCCCCTGTCCATCTCGGGTTCCTGGGGGCCCTGCAGGTTGGGTCTCACAGGTGCACTCTTTCAACACCTCCCAGAGAAAGCTCCTGCTCCTACCCACACGGTTTGGGACACACTTAGCCCCTGACAATGGAGTGACCCAGTCCCAATGCCCCTGCCCACCCACCACACACACTCCTCCTGTCTCTGGGTCCCCTCTCCCAGGGCCGGTCCCTATTCTCTGAGGCCCACCTGCCTACTAGAAGGGACCCTCGACAGATCTCTCAGTACCAACCAGAGACCTCCTGGGACTTGGCCTGGCAGGGTGATCATGTCCAAGACCTCAGCTTGGAACCCCCACCTTCAACCTCCAGGGTCTCCCCAAAGGCCTCTTCTGTCCCTTCATAGACTATGGCTCCATTGCACCCCCTGGTGGCCAATCCTAATCACAGCCACTTGGCAATGCCTCAGAAGGTGATGCCTGCTGTCGAATCGGCCTTTTTCTTTTCTTTTTTTTTTTATTTTTATTTTTTCTTTTTTTATAGAGACACCGTTTCACCATGTTGGCCAAGCTGGTCTTGAACTCCTAACCTCAGGTGAATTCCTAACCTCAGGTGATCCGCCTCGGCCTCCCAAAGTGCTGAGATTACAGACGTGAGCCACCATACCCGGCCGAATCAGCCTCTTTTTTCCAACTTCCACAAGGCCCTGTTCCTTCTGTACAACACCCTAGAGGTCTAGACAAGTAGAACCTCAGGGAACAGGATGAGGCAGTAAGACAGGCACAGTGGCTCACTCCTACAGTCCTAGCACTTTGGGAGACGAAGGCAGGAGGATAGCTTGAGCCCGAGAGGTCAAGGCTGCAGTGAGCCAAGACTGCGCCACTGAACTCCAACCTGGGCGACAGATGGAGTGAGACCCTGTCTCAAAATATATATGTATTTTTTGAGATGGAGTCTCTCGCTCGCTCGCTCGCTCGCTCGCTCGCTCTCCCTCCCTCCCTCCCTCCCTCCCTCCCTCCCTCTCTCTCTCTCTCTCTCTCTCTCTCTCCCCCAGGCTGGAGGCAGTGGCATGATCCCAGCTCACTGCAACCTCTGCCTGCCGGGTTCAAGCGATTCTCCTGCCTCAGCCTCCCGAGTAGCTGGGATTACAGGCATCCGCCACAGGATGTGCCACTACATCCAGCTTTTGTTTTTGTATTCTTTTTATTTTTCTTAGAAATGTCAAGTTGTTAGAACATTTTTTTTTTTTTTTTTTTTTATTTTGAGTAGAAACAGGGTTTCACCATGTTGGCCAGGCTGATCTCAAACTCCTGACCCCAGATGATCTGCCTGCCTTGGCCTCCCAAAGTGCTGAGATTACAGGCATGAGCCACCGTGCCCAGCCTAAAAAATATATATATATTTTAAAGATGAGGTGGTATGTTAAACATGACGAAGCTGGGAAGTTCAAACCTTTTGGGACAGGAGAGGAGACAAAAGGGGAGTGCAGGGTGATGGCTGGGAACTTTGTCCTGGTCAACGGGAAGAAAACCACACACCATTACCAATGAGAAGGAAAATGAGAAGGGTGAGGGGCCCACAGGGTGATGGCAGCAGAGAGGAGATCCCTAGGTTGAGCATATGACTCGCACCTGTAATCCCAGCACTTTGGGAGGCCAAGGCAGGAGGATCACTTGAGCCCAGGAGTTTGAGACCAACCTGGCCAACGTAGCAAAAAAATTTAAAAATCAACCAAGCATGGTGGCACACACCTGCAGCCCAGCTACTTGGGAGGCTGAGGTGGGAGGATCACTTGAGCCTAGGAGGTTGAGGCTGCAGTGATTGCGCCACTGCACTCCAGCCTGGGTGACTGAGCAAGATGTTGTCTCAAAAAAAAAAACAAAACTCCTGACCTCAGGTGATCTGCCCACCTCATCCCAAAGTGCTGGGATTACAGGCGTGAGCCACTGCAGCCAGCCAATAAAGTCTATTTTTAAAAATCAATGTTCCCTTCTAAAAATGTGTGGGTAAACAAATAGTGGCATATGCATGTGAAGAGTTACTTAGCAGTTAGGAGGAGTGAAGTATTAATATAAGCTGCAACCTGGATGAACTTCAGAAACATTATGTTGGGTGAGAAAAGACTAATAAAAGGTCATATACTGGCCGGCTACAGGGGCTCATGCCTATAATCCCAGCACTTTGTGGGGCAGAGGCGGGAGGATCACTTGAGGCCAGGAGTTTGAGACCAGGCTGGCCGAGAGGGCAAAATCCCGTCTCTACTAAAAATACAGGCATGGTGGTGAGCACCTGTGGTCCCAGCTACTCAGAAGGCAGAGGCAGGAGAATCACTTGAACCTGTGAGGTGGAGGTTTCAGTGAGCCAAGAGGGCACCACAGCACTCCAGCCTGGGCAACAGAGTAAGACTCCGTCTCGAAAAACAAGGTCACATATTGTGTGATTCCTCTTACATGGAATATCCAGAATAGGGCTGGGCATGGTGACTAACACCTGAAATCCCAGCACTTTGGGAGGCCCAGGCGGATGGTCAGGAGTTTGAGACCAGCCTGGCCAACATGGTGAAACCCCATCTCTACTAAAAATACAAAAATCAGCTGGGCATGGTAGCGGGTGCCTGTAATCCCAGCTACTTGGAAGGCGAGACAGGAGAATCACTTGAACCCAGGAGGTGGAGGTTGCAGGGAGCTGAGATCTCACCACTGCACTCCAGCCTGGGCAACAGAGTAAGACTTCACCATCTCAAAAAAAGAAAAACAAAAGTGAATGTCCTAAGGATTGTGACCCAAGACTTTGTCTAATCTTGCACTTGCATTTTCTCTGGGAAAAATTTTACTCATATGTCTTTCATTTTTTTTGGTAGAGATGCCATGTTGCCCAGTCTGGTCTCAAACTCCTCAAGTGATTCTCCCACCTCGGCCTCCCAAAATGTTGGGATTACAGGTGTGAACCACTGCGCCCTGCCTATATTTTTTAAAATTTATTTTGAAGGGTTAATAGATTTATATGGTTCAAAAATCAAATGTATTTTCTGAGAAGTTTTACTCACATCCTATTCCCATATTTTCTGCACTTTCTTACATAAAAATAGCATACTGCATCCACTGTTCTGCACCTTGCTTTTTTTTTTTTTTTGAGTTGGAGTCTCTCTATGTCACCAGGCTGGAGTGTGCAGTGGCATGATCTCTGCTCCCTGCAACCTCTGCCTCCCGGGTTCAAGCGATTCTCCTGCCTCAGACTCCTGAGTAGCTGGGACTACAGGTGCATGCCACCATGCCCAGCTAATTTTTGTATTTTTAGTTGAAATACGGTTTCACCATGTTGGCCAGAATAGTCTCGATCTCTTGACCTTGTGATCCACCCACCTCAGCCTCCCAAAGTGCTGGGATTACAGGCGTGAGCCACTGCGCCCGGCCCCTTGCTTTTTTTTTTTTTTTTTTTAAATCTAATAGTATATCCTGGAAATCACTCCAAATCAGTGCATGGAGAGCATCCCCCCGCCCTTTTTTTTTTTGAGACAGAGTTTTGCTCTTGTTACCCAGACTGGAGTGCAATGGCACGATCTCGGCTCACTGCAACCTCTGCCTCCTGGGTTCAAGCAATTCTCCTACTTCAGCCTCCCAAGTAGCTGGGACTACAGGCGCGCACCACCATACCCGGCTAATTTTTGTATTTTTAGTAGAGACGGGGTTTCACCTTGTTGACCAGGATGGTCTCGATCTCTTGACCTCGTGATCCACCCGCCTCAGCCTCCCAAAGTGCTGGGATTACAGGCGTGAGCCACCGCACCCGGCCAGAGCATCCCCCTTTTTTGCAGCAACAGTACAGTATTCTATTAACTAGCCCCTTCTAGATTGACTCCTGGACTGCTTCCAATCTTTTCGTATTTCAGAAAGGGATAATCATATTTCTACCACATTTTAAGTCTGTACAAGTGTGTCTTTAAGGCATAGATTTCCGGGAGAATTGCTGGGTCAACAGGAAAAGCTGTTTGTACTTTCCTGAGCTGTTGCTAAATTGTCTTATCTGGGGGTTGTGCCATTTTCCACACCATCAGCATGGTGTGGAAAAGCCTTGCTTTGCTTCACTGACTCTGCGCTAACCGCCTCGCCTGTGCCTCAGACTCATACATCCAACTGTCCCGGGTCCTCTTCCACTTGCAGTATTAGGTCTAAAGTCCTTGCAGTGTGTACACTTCAAATCTATCTCTGACCCAGCCTTTCCCTCTCCATCGCCACCTCCCACTACCCCAGACGCACACATTCACCTGGACTCCAGACACACGGAGGCCTGAATTCCCTCATCTTTCTTCTGTCTACACTGCTCTCACTCTGGCACTGTCCACATGGCAACACTACTTGGCTGAAGGGTCTGTTTTACTGTGAAGTTGCCTTTGATCTCGTAGATGAAACTGACCAATCTTCCTTTTTTTTTTTTTTTTCTGAGAAGGAGTCTCTCATTCTGTCAGTAAGCCTAGAGAGCAATGGTCAGATCTCTGCTCACCGCAATCTCCACCTTCCAGGTTGAAGCATTT